GCAAAAATATATGCCAAGCCATAAAACTGGCGTAAGCAAAAGCATACATAGAAGAAGACACAGTGGTAGGTGCATGATTATCACATGAGCACGAAACAAATTCACAATCATAGTTGGAGATTTTACACCTCTCAGTAACTGATAGAATTAAAAGCAAAAACAGTAAAGATATGGAAGAGATGATGCGCTATCAACCATCTTAACCAGTTAACTGCCACAATAGTTTGAATTTAATTAAAAAAGGCCCACCGCTTGTGTCTATAGACGCTTATAGCGTACAAATGGTTAACCGCACATTTATAAAACTACACCCACAACAGCTTAAAATCAAGGTGATCAAATGGTGGACCATTAAAAGATATCACGAAAAATGTCAGAGTATCTTCTGTAATTATAATCTAATGTAATATAGAAATCAATAACACTAAGATATCTAAAAACCCTTATATATTTTGAAATTAAACAATACTTTTCTAAATAACTCAAGATTCAAAGGAATCACAAGGCAAGTTAGGAAACATTTACACTAAATGACAATGAAAACACAATATTATCAAAACTTGTGAGACACAGTTAAGCAGTGAAGTAAGATAAATCCACAGCTTTAAATTCTTATACTTATTTAAAAGAAAAAGGTAATATTTTATCTTAAAAAGCCATAAAAAGACAAGCAAATTAAAATAATTAAGAGCACACGCAGTAAAATAGAAAACAAAGGACAAAGAAAATAAACAAAGCAAAAATGTGGTTCTTTGAAAGAATAAAATGTATAAACACCTAGCAAGATGGATCAAAGAAAAAGAGAAAACACAGTTTACCAATATGAGAATTTAATAAGGGGATTATCATTATAGATCCTGCAGATATTAAGAACAACTTTATGTCTAACAAATCAAAAACGGGAATGAAACGGACAAATTCCTTAAAAAACACAACTTAGCCAAACCAACCCAAGATGAAACAGAAAATCTGAATAGCCCTGTATCCATTAAAGAAATTGAATTACTTATCAAAATTCTCCAACCCAGCTGGCTTCACTGATGCATTTTATCAAACATGAAAGGAGGAAATAAAACCCACCTTATGCAAATTCCTTCAAAAAGTGAGGAGGAGGGAATACTTCCTATTACCATCTATTTTATAAGTCTAGCATAACCCTTATACCAAAACCTGAAATAAAAATTATAGATATCAATATTCTGGTAAATGCAAAAAAAAAAAAAAGGATCCTTCACAAAATATTAGTAAATCAAAACTGGTAATATATAAATCCCATCGTGACCAAATGGGCTTTATTCCAGCAATGAAAGTAAGACACTACATTAACAGAAAGAAAAAACGGAAGTCAAATGGTCATGTCAACAGATATGGAAAATCTTTTGAAAAAATTGAACACTCATTCATTAAAAAAAAAAAAAAACTCTCAGCAAACTAGGACAGGAAAGGAACTTTCTCGACCCGATAAAGGCCAGCCATGGAAAACCTACAGCTAATATGACACTTGGTGTAGAGTAAACGCTTTCCCAATAAGATGAGAAATAAGGCCAAAATGTTGACTGGCATAATTTTACTCAACATTGTACTCAAGGTGCTAACCAGGCAGTAAACCAGACAAATTAATTAAAAGCCCAAGGATTGGAGAGGAAGGAGTAGAACAGAGGCTCTTTGCTAATGACGACCATCTGCATAAAAAAGCTTAAAAGTAACTTTAATAAGAATTGGGCAAGCCCTAACCAGTTTGGCTCAGTGGATAGAGCATCCGCATGTGGACTCAAGGGTCCCAGGTTCGATTCTGGCCAAGGGCATGTACCTTGGTTGCGGGCACATCCCCAGGAGGGGGTGTGCAGGAGGCAGCTGATTGATGTTTCTCTCTCATCCATGTTTCTAACTCTCTATCCCTCTCCCTTCCTCTCTGTAAAAAATCAATAAAATATATTTTTTTAAAAAAAGAATTGGGCAAGGTTGCAGGATACAGTCAAAACACAAAACTCAACTGCTGATTGGGAAGGGTGTGTGGGTGTGTCTAGCAGCAACCGTGCAATTCTGTAACTCTGGAATGCAGTGAAAGCTATCATTTGATGGTTCTCTGCATTTGGCTTACTTCGTTAAAACAAATTAATTGAAAGTATAAGAAAAACAAATTTCACAATGTAAATACGTCAAATCTCAGAGTTTTAAATGTCATTACCAACAAATTTAATTTTTCTACATTTCTTCTCCACTTACAACATCAATAGCCAAAGGGAGCCCTAGCCGGTTTGGCTCAGTGGATAGAGCATTGGCCTGTGGACTGAAGGGTCCCGGGTTCGATTCCGGTCAAGGGCTCCGTACCTCAATCCCTGGCCCTGGTCAGGGCACATGTGGGAGGCAACCGATCCATGTGTCTTTCTCACATTACTGTTTCTCTCTGTCTTTCCCCCTCCCTGCCACTCTCCCTAAAAATCAATGGAAAAACATCCTCGGGTGAGGGTTAAAAAAAAAAAAAAAGCCAAAGTGAGCTTCTCTAATGTGTCACGTGGTTATATGGTCACTACCACAGCTCTACTCTCTATGGAAAACGCTTGCAGCTGAGTAGTAAACAGGAAATCATATGGTCATTTTCTTTTTCCTTAATCACTTCATAATTTGTTTCAAAAGTCACTTCGTGAAGAAGACAAGAACAAAAGGCACACAAGTACCTGCAAAGTGACGAAGAAGGAAAGACCCTTGGACATGGATGTCCCTCCAAAATTGTGCATTTTCTCTTCTGTAACAACTTATAATTGACTACATCACAACAATCATTCATTCAAACATAAACTCAGCTATTCATGTTACTAAAGTATGTTTTGCATAGTGGGATTAAGCTACTTTGTAAGACAACAGACTTACAAAGTTTGAGCCTGGAATGACCGAATACTAATATTCTAGTTCATCTAACAAAGCATTTCACAAAATATAAGACAAATATAATTCCAAGGACAGTTTACAGATATTGGAAATCACAAGTACCAGGCACACTAAGGGGAAAAGTTATTTGAAAGCACAAGCTGGTTATATGCACAGAATATAACACGAAAATTCAAGCTGTTAGATATCAATACAAGAAAAATATAAGAAATTAACTTACACTTGCATGCCCGCAGCATTTTCATCAATCAAAATGTTTCTAATGATAAAACCACCTTTCAATTGGCACCAACTTCAAAACAGTACGATTACGAGTTGACTAGAAATACATAACTGATTTTAATTTGTTACCAAGGAGCTGGCTGACCACACTTATAAGAGATTACATACTTAGGATTTTAAGAAATAACGCTACTAAGCAAACACAATTTTGTAAATTACAATAAGCCCTCGATCAATATTACTGCGATCTACTTAATTCTGCAACTTAGACCTTTTAAGCTGGTTGAACTTTATTAATGCAGTAAGTTTCTTCACAGCAAATATTGCCACTGGCTCTAACGGAACAAAATAAGAAAGCAAATTTGACATCGAGGTTAGAGATATCGAGTCACCTGGAGTATACCTCCTGGGCTGGCAGAAGGAGATCACTTCACACGTGCTCAATCTGTGTACAGATGGCTTCTATGTGCAGCCAACTGTGGGGGGCTCTGCCTGGACCCCCCAGGAGAAAGCTGCAGGCAGCACCTGACTCCATTTGCTACATTACATTTGTTTTACCGTCATCTTTAGCATCAACAATACTATGTGAATGTGTTATCTCCATTAATGATACCGCTTTGCAATTGCTCCAGAAAAGTACAGGCAGAAAGATTTCCTTACTATATGCCACTCATAAAGTATTTGTGCTACACAACATCAATAATCATCCTTGTATTTTTTTTTTTCATTTTCCTGGAAGATATTTACTGAAGAACAACTTTAAAAAAAAGTACAAATAAAATGAGATTATATCTGAATAGGAGCTAACAAGAACTGATTCAGCAATACTGGTTTGAGAAAAAGGACTGGCATTGAAAGTAACAGCTACATCATAACTTTTTTATATAAATACCCTTTATTAATAGTTTATGAGTTTAAAAAAAAACACTCCCCTGCAAGCATGATCTCGTTATGTTTAAAACCACATGGTGAGGTAAGGAAGGCAGATATTATCATATTTATTCTTGAGGGAGTACACACCAAAGTTCAGGTGATAACCATCTGCCTGGGGTGTTTACAATAATACTGCTCTTCTGGAAGAAATCCTCTGAACCAAAATATAGCCAAACACCAACAGATTATATAGTGAAATTTACACGAAATTATTATTAAAATTATATTGAAATTTCTAAAGGAATAAAATAAGAATGGTGGAGGGAAAAAAGGCCCAACTTGGTTTCCCCTAACATTTCAACTAATGCTTTCAGAAGTACAATGAAACACTACCATACAAAGCTTCTTTCAGGGAGTCTGACTTGTAAGTACAGGAAAAACACATAAATTGTAAAAATAGACAGAGGATGTTACCAGCAATCCCAGTCTTTCATTCACAAATATACCCAGATAAACAGGGATCACTAGATAACTAAAGAAAACTACCACTACTGAAAAAACACTCAACAAAATAAGCAAATCGAAGGAATTATTCAAAGAGGAGAATAAACTTCAAAATAAAATGTATTTAGTGTCCTAAGAATAGGACACTAATGTTAAGTAAAATAAGAGCAGATGGCCATAACCTATAAAGAAAAAAGTCCTGGGAATATAAAGTAATAACTGAAATATAAAATTCAATGAAGGGCTAGAATAAAAGGTCAAGGAACAAAGAGAAAAAAAAAACAGACGCATGGCAAAATGAAAGAAAAAATTTAAAATAGTGCATTGCTAGAGAAGCTCTAAGAGAAAGTAAAAAACAAAAAACATAAAAGAATACAGAGAACACAGATGGGAAAAAAATAATAAAAGAAATATACGAAGATTTCCCAAAACTGAAGAAAGACATGAAAGTCTGCATTTTCAAAGGGTCCACCGTTTGAATGAATTACAGAATGAGCAAACAAGGACTACAGCTCACCCTCCTTCAATTTCATAATCCCACGGGTACAGAGGCCCCGACACAAAAAGCTTCCAGAGAACAAAGCAGGTTACCTACAAAAAATTCTTCATGTTAGTGGCAAGCCTCTTACCAGTAAACTGGTTACTGAAATGTAATGGAATTCAACCTTCAAAATTCTGAAGAAAAACTATTTTGAAGCCTGAATTCTATACCCAGCCAAGGTATGTACCAGGTGTGAACGTGAAAAGGACATTCTCAAACACGGTGTGGACAAGCACACACACACACACCCTTTCTGAGAAAATTACTTCAGGAAGTGCTCTAGAAAACTGCAAAATAAATCCGAGAGAGAGAGAGAGAGATCGATCTAAGAGAGCACAGAACTTGTCCAAGAATGCAATCAAATAGCATGATATTAGCTGATCATACCCATATGAAAAGGCAATTCATATTAGAACTTCAACAAATAGTATGATTTCAAAACTGGAAAACCAAGTGATATTATAAAGGCATATACAGTCTTCTACCAATAGGGGGGAAATGTGGCAATTAGAAAATCCAGGAAAAAAACAGTTCTACCCAAACTAGAAGCCAAACTAAAGTATGACATGAACTTGAGTAGCAACGGCGTGTAAGAAATTCATCTGCTCTCCCATCACATGCATCCTACTACTTTGTTTACAGTTAATATTGTTTACACAGCATAATAGTGATTACTGCTTTTTGGAATCAAGTATAGCTATTAAACCTTGATGATATAAAATAAATGTTACAGTTAACAAATTGGAGAAGAAATGTGAGGAATTCAAGGGAAAGACTGTAAGGGTACTAATTTTTATTAACTCATGAAGTGGCAAGATTATGTCTAAATAATTTATAGAATTAATGATGCAGTAAGTTTAACTATAAAGGCCCCCAAAAAAAGAAAAAAAATGAAGAGAATAAGTACTGAAAGTAAAACTGCTCATTTTTTCACAATGGGGATATACTAGACTACTTAAGATTCATCAAAAATAAAGTTTAGCACATTATATATAAAATTGGGATAATCAGCAGAAGAATTAAAAAGAGAAAAGGTCTGCCCGGCCGGTGTGGCTCAATAGTTGAGCACTGACCTATGAACCAGGAGGTCACGGTTAGATTCCCAGACAGGACACATGCCCGGGTTGTGGGCTCAATCCCCAGTGTGGGGCGTGCAGGAGGCAGCCAATCAATGATTCTCTCTTATCCCGGATGTTTCTATCTGTCTCTCCCTCTCCCTTCCTCTCTGAAGTAAATAAAAATATATTTTTTAAAAACTAGAAAAGGTCTAAAATAGTTATCTCTGAGCAGCCGTGGGCAAACTACGGCCCGCAGGCCGGATCCGGCCCGTTTGAAATGAATAAAACTAAAAAAAAAAAAAAAGACCGTACCCTTTTATGTAATGATGTTTACTTTGAATTTATATTAGTTCACACAAACACTCTATCCATGCTTTTGTTCCGGCCCTCCGGTCCAGTTTAAGAACCCATTGTGGCCCTGAGTCAAAAAGTTTGCCCACCCCTGTCTCTGAGGATAGGAACTAGTTGGAAGAGGTAGAGGGTAGAAAGAGTTTTACTTTGCATTTTATACCTTTGTGTATTATTCAGTCTTGTGTTTATAAGACTATTACTTCCCAAAATTAATGCATGCATACACACACATACACACATGCACACACACGCACACATGCACGCACACACACACATGCATGCACACGCGCGCGCACACGCACACACACGCACGCACACACACACATGCATGCACACGCACGCGCACACGCACACACACGCACGCACACACACAAGCACATGCACACACAAATCACTAGAATTCTCTTTCCCTAACCAATGCAGGAAAGACACCGAGAAATTCTACTTTATTTTTTTTCCTTTTTCTATATCCCATGTACTATACACCAACCTTCTATAATGGTATTTCAGAGGAGTCACAATTAATTAAACAGACTCAACAAGCACTCTAAACCCTTGATAAAAGGTGGCGATAGCAACAGCTGACATTTATGTTAAAATGGCCAAAGCTCACCCACATCCATGATCTTATTTAAAAATACCTTCCTTCACACAGCAGAGAAATCTGAAAAAGCTTTCCAAATCTCTAAAATGAGAATAACATAAAAGGTATTAAACTGAACACAAACAGTCGGCCGCTTTGAAAACAGTTTGGCCGTTTTGATAAAGTTAAACATAAACTTACCATAGGTCCCAGCAATCTCATTCCTAGGTTATAGCCCAAGAAAAATACATCACACCAACACATGCACACACATGTTCCCAGCACCTTTACTCATAATAGCCCCAAACGAGGAGCAGCCCAAATGCTCATCGCCTGGCAAACACAAACTGTGGATGGAATACTACTCAACAATGAAAAGGAACAGACTAATGAAAAACACCACTATATAAATGAATCCTACAAGCTCAGGCAGCACACTTCTCAAACCCTGCTCTCACCCCATTATCCTCCTGTGTTTATATTTTCACTAGAGGCCTGGTGCACGAATTCGTGCACAGGGGCCCATTGGGCCAGGCCGGCTGGGGGGAAGGGCCGAGGGCAGTTGGCAGGCCGGCCCCGCCTCCTGATCGAACTCCTGGTTGAACTCATGGTGGTACTCCCTGTCGAGGGGACAATTTGCATATTAGCCTTTTATTATATAGGATTACTTTGCTCAAGGGCCAGAGACCTCAAGTTTTATCCTTGGGGGTCTCAGCCCCATCCCCTTTTTGCAGACCCATCACCATGGTCACCAGAGTAACCGCTTCATTGCCATGGTTACATACTCATTGCATGGCTCCCTAGCTCAGGGTATGTGCCATCATCTCTGCAGCCCAGGCCCTCGGGGACCTCATGCTGGGGAAAGGGTCCTAACACCTCCTCCCCGAGCCCGTCTCCAGGCCCTGATGCACAGCCTGCTGGCCCCTCAGCCCTCTCCCTACCACATGTGCCCTGCTTACAGCCAGAGGGGGTGAAGGCAGGGTATCTAGGTCTGAGGAGGAGAAAGCAAGAAGGGCCTTCCTCGGGGTACGGGGAGCACAGAGAAGGGAGGGCCCTGAGGCCCAGCCTCCGAGGGTGATGAACGCGGAGCAGAGGACTAGGCCTCCACAGCCTGGCCACAGTCTTTCCGCCTTAACACACAGCCCACCTCCCTGCCCCCTTGTGGCCCTGGGCTGTGGGTGCGGGGTCCAGGCTGGGTGACTTTCAGTATTTGTAAGCATCTCAGCAGAACAATAAAGCATTTGGAGTGTGGGGAAAAAAAAGTATTATGTAATGTGAAAGGTGAAAGTAGTCAAACTCAAAGGACTGCATGGCGTATGATTCTAATCATATGAAATTGCAAAATTATAGGCACAGCAGAGCAGTGGTTACCAAGGGAAGGCAGGAACTTTTCTGGGTGATAGAAATGTTCTATGTCATGATTATAGTGTTTGTTACACTCCTTTAAAAGTTTAGCAAAATTCATTAAGGGCACACTTAAAATGGGTATATTTTACTGTATGTAAATAACTCAATAAAGCTGATTTTCAAAAGCTCGAAAACACATCATCACATTTAACTATTGTCAACATCTTTCAGCATAGGTATGAACCACAGACCCTAAAAGAATATGAAAATCACACCTTAAAAGGCAATGCTTAACCAGAAAATGACACCAATAACCTAAAAGTCCTGAGAATGAAAGAGGCCTCATCCTACTCCAGTTGGCCACGTGGATAAGCAGTGGTTGCCTAGCAACTAGCCCAAACTCTAGAATTCTAATAAACACATTGACCACATTAGCAGGTGACCTCATAGTGGATAAAATGTTTTACACTGAAAAGTGCTTCCTTTAATATTAAAAAGCATAATAGTGCATTTGAATTATTTATCTAAAGTGAGAGTAAACAAGAAATACTAAAAGACCATGAAAAACAAAACATAAAATTAAACATAAACACACACACACACACTCTTTCCTCATGTGGTCTTTTAATCAGGGCTTTACTTACCTTCTCATGAGATTGTGAATCCAAGAGTTTGTGGGTGAACCCTCCCCCTTTACTACTTTAATCCCTTCCCCTACCACCACCCAAATTGGCTTAATATAACTGAATAATTTGATTTATGTTTACATGTCTTAAAATGCATACAAGTTAGACACTTTTTTGATATTAAATCATTCCAAAGATTTCTCTCTGTATTTGTAGAGTCCAGCAGGCAACACAGAAAACACGGCACCAATTTTCTGTAACATACATGCACACAACATACCAGAAAGCCAAACTTGACTATAAATGATCAAAATCAAGAATTACAGTCCGGCTGGCAGGGCTCAGTGGTTGAGCATCGATCTATGAACCAGGAGGTCCCGAGGTTCGATTCCCAGGTTGCGGGCTGGATCCCCAGTGTGGGGCGTGCAAGAGGCAGCCGAGCAATGATTCTCTCTCATCATTGATGTTTCTCTCTCTCTCTTTCTCTCTTTCTCTCTCTCTCTTTCCTCTCCCTTCCTCTCTGAAATATATATATATATATTTTATTTTTTTTAAGAAAGAATTACAAAGAACCCTTGAATAATAAGCAAATTCCTAACACATATGCTAAATATCATTTCTCTCTTACTGGACATAGTACATCACAGTTTACTTTGTTAACAGCATCAGAAAAAAAAAAATCAACTTCCAAAACACCACTAAGTGTCAGCACACTTACCAACCACATGGCTTTGGTTTTGTTGAACACTTACCCCTCTTCTGAACCCAACCTTCTTTCACAATGGTCACATCGCTCATGGTGGCTCCCCGCTAGCCCCCAACGTGGAGAAATGGGAGTGTGTGATATCAGCTTTGGGGTTTTTATCTGCTGCTGCTGCCCTTCCCACTCTCTAGTGATGACTCAGCCTGGAAGGAAGTATTGAAGAAAGAATGTCTTTTTTTTTCCATTCTTGGAGATCACACAGCAATAACAAACAACTAATTCTTTGTCGATGTCTTCAATGGGCCTGACCTTACATAAAAGCCCCGCTCTTCAAACTGGGGGACTTATTTATTAAATGGTTGTATAATGAACACACTTCCCTGGTCTTGTGACAGATTTCAAATGATAATGAAACTTTTAACCTAAGAGGCTGCAATAAAAAAAAATGTCTTTAAGAAAACCAGTCACACCTACACAAAGAATACAGAAAATGTGTTTGGTGATGTGTGTTTTGAGGCGAAAGGAAAGAGAATGAAAGTTACGTGGACTAAAAGTACATCTTCCATCTATGTCTAATGTCAAAATCTCTGTAAATTTAAACGTAGTTATGGGAAAGCAATTGTGAATGTTTTTAACTGCTGCATTTTATGTAAAATACCATGTGCTAAGAAACCAACACTTATGTATGCTTCGTCTGCTAGGTTCCAAGAAATATTTTAGGCTGATTGCAATAAGTAAAATATTATAAATAATACAAAATCAATTACTTTTAAAGTAGACAAAGTAAAAGAGAGAACATGAAAATATAAAAAACTATGGAGTATTCAAGATGTGTCAGCAACTCGCATAGGCACTTCAACCTATTAGTCATAGGTAATCTTCACAACAACCTTCGTAGGGTACTATTAACTCCATTTCACAGATGGGGAAACTGAGGTTCATAGAAATTAAACAGCTTGCCCGATTTGAACACAAAAGGATGGAGCCAAGCTGTCTGACCCCGCAGCCTGCATTCTTAACTCCAAAACGATGTTACCTTAAATCAGTGATTTTAAACTAGAATTTTTAAAACATGCAATAATACCAACACAATATACAGATGAAGAATTATAGAATTGTATGCCTGAAACCTATATCATTTTATTAACCAATGTTACCTCAATAAATTTAATTAAAACAAAACATGCAATACCTGACTACTTAGTCAAGGGACAAAACATGCAATACCTGACTATTTAGTCAAGGGCACTGATCTTTTTTTCCTTTAGATTATCAAATAAAAAAAATGACAGCATCCCTGGTCAGTTTGGCTCAGTGGATAGAGCGTTGGCCCCCTATCTTTTTTCCCTTAGATTATCAAATAAAAAAATGAGAGCATCCCCGGTCAGTTTGGCTCAGTGGATAGAGCGTTGGCCCCCTGAAGGGTCATGGGTTCAATTCCGGTCAAGGGCAAGTACCTGGGTTGCAGGCTCAATCCCTGACCCTTGTTGGAGCACGTGTGGGAGGCAAACAATCAATGTCTCTCTCTCACATCAATGTTTCTCTCTGTCTCTCCCCCTCCCTTAAAACTAATAATAATAATAATAATAATAATAATAATCGCCAGTACAATAGGTGTCCAGTGTGAAGGAAAATCATACCGCAGAATTTCAGTAATTAGTTTATAGGTGCCACGAAATGAAAAAGGTTGGAAATCGCTGCCTCCAATAAAGATAAAAGGAAGCCGGAGTAAAAGGCTGTGCATCTGTGAAGATGGGCCATGCATTTAGCATGAGCTTTCAGGAAGCAATGCAAATAAGGAAACTCTATAGGTTTCAATAGTTACAGCACCCACAAGTATTAAAAAAAAAATGCTCACAAGGAATATAATTCTTCCTGCGACAAAAGTCTGAAATTTTTATCATGGGTCTTTACAAGACACCTTCTAGTGCAGCGGTTCTCAACCTGTGGGTCACGACCCCTTTGGGGGTCGAACGACCCTTTCACAGGGGTCGCCTAAGACCATCGGAAAACACATATATAATTACATATTGTTTTTGTGATTAATCACTATGCTTTAATTATGTTCAATTTGTAACAATGAAAATACATCCTGCATATCAGATATTTACATTACGATTCATAACAGTAGCAAAATTACAGTTATGAAGTAGCAACGGAAATAATGTTATGGTTGGGGGTCACCACAACACGAGGATCTGTATTAAAGGGTCGCGGCATCAGGAAGGTTGAGAACCACTGTTCTAGTGTAAAAAAAAAAAAAAGGTCCTCAAAATATCCTCACACGTAAATAGCACTGGGCTTCACAGGGTGATTTCTTATTGTCCCTCTCAACCTAAAAAGGGAAATACCGAGATAAAATTGAGTGAAAGCGTTTCCTCCCAGAAAACCAAAAACATGGCCCAGGGACACACGCGTCCATTTCAGATAACCAGCAAATGGACGGACGGACTCCATCAGGTGCTGTTTTTTTCTACTGGGTTTAGGCCAAGGGGTAAGCAAAGGAGAGACTCCTAGGCTAGGACTAGACTGAATTACAGTTCTTCTTCTGATGCAAATGAAGGGCACAGCCTCATCCTTGCGTGGTCAGGAATCCAGACTAAAGGTCCCACAAAGTCTGTGTAGCTGAAGGGAAGACCATGGTCATCATGGCCATCATGTGCCTGGGGCTGCGACAGGACCCCCAGGCAGGGCCAAGCCCGTCCCCAAAATCGTCAGGCTCTCCTACTGAAGAGGGTCCAAAGGGATATTAGAATCTGGAGGTACTTCCCCCAAAATATGTTTGACGGAATATTAAAAAGAAATTCTGGAAAAATTTTTTTTAAAAAAAAGATGGAAAAAGAAAAATTCTTTGGTCCAGTAAGTTGGGAAACTTCTACAAACCACGTCTTGCTCTTGAAACATGACGATAAACATGTTAAGCATCTCAGCAAATCCTAAATGTATCTGCACACACAGGGCTTTTTATTTTTGTTTTTTCTTTAGTAGCGTGTATTGATATCCAGAGGAGCGCACGTTGGGAAATGCCACAGGATGTGGCCACATAATTCAAGACAAGACTCATTTCACCATGAAAAGCAGGCAACAAACAAAGAAACCACAAAACCCTTCACTCAAGAATCCAAAGATCATTTTTAATTTCGCTTATGAAACTTCCTGAAGACCTCAACATAGCCCGCTGGCTACATGATACACCCAGAGCTAGATCATTAAAAGGGTTAACTCTTGACATAGATGATTAAAGGGAGTTAAGTACTGGGAACACGGGTACAAAATGATGTCTTTTGAGGGGCTGCCCTGTCGGCCTTCTCTTTGCTTCTACCCTAGCAAGGGGCCTCACACCCACTGCAGCGGTTCTCAACCTGTGGGTCTCGAACAATGAAAATGCATCCTGCATATCAGATATTTACATGACGATTCCTAACAGCAGCAACATTACAGTTATGAAGTAGCAACGAAAATAATTTTATGGTTGGGGGTCACCACAACACGAGGAACTGTATTAAAGGGTCGCGGCATTAGGAAGGTTGCGAACCACTGCAGCAATTCTTCGCTTCTGACTATAAAATTATCTAACAGGGGTAAAAGGAAACTCTACCTAGCTGAATATTCTTAGGATTAGAAATGGAACAGGTCAGGGATTAATGCTTAGTAATAACCAAAAGTAATACATATCCAATAAATGTATGTAAAGTGTGTACTTTCCTATTTAAATAATTACCAAACCTCTATTTAAAAAAAAACAACCACCTAGAAAAACAACAGTATTGTCAAAATTGATTTTATTTTTTTTAAGTGGACATTTCGTTACAAGGATCTTAAAGCTGGAAGCGACCTTCGGTTTACAGCAGAGGGAAGGGTCGAGCCAGATGAAGAGACTGGGCCAGGGTCAGGGGGCTCCTCTATGGGGACCCCACACAGAGAACCCGGCGCATGCTCCTGCCACCAGCGCTGCCTCTTCAGTATCAAACAAGAGGCTAAAATATTCACATCAACCCAAAGTCAATGAATTGTATTTCATAAAGGAACAGTTTCAAAAACTAGTGTTTTAGATAAAAACTGGTCACTGGCGCTTATCTATTTAAACTGTTAAAATGTATGTTAAATCAATCGGATAGAATTTGTCATCTTGGTGAGGGGCAGTGGCCCCACACATTATAGAGATGGCTTTATGCATTGGCACCTTAAAATGTGAACAGATTCTACCCCTAGTCGTAATTTTCAGCTTTAAAAATTGCTCCTGAGTCTCTACTGACTGAAATGACACACTCTTCGAACAGAAGTGCTCGTTTGTATATAAAAACAATGCTATTAACTCATAAGCAGCAAACTATGCTGGTTAATTTTCCTGCAATGACAACATTCCTGTACCTCGTCACCTACACTCTCCCCCTCAGTCTGTTAAAAATACTAACCTGCAGCTCTAGCTGGATTGGCTCAGTGGATAGAGCGTCGGCCCTCGGACTGAAGGGTCCCGGGTTCGATTCTGGTCAAGGGCTTGTACCTCAGGTGCAGACTCGATTCCCAGCCTGGGGCCGCATGCGGGAGGCAACCAATCGATGTGCTTCTCTCACATCAATGTTTCTCTCTCTCCCCTTCCCCGTCTCCCTCCCTCTTTCCCTCCCTCCCTTCCGCTTTCTCAGAAAAGCAATGGAAAAATATCCTTGGATGAGGATTAACAAAAAAAAAACAAACAAAAAAAAAACACAACAAAAAACAAAGAAAACCCACTAATCCGAAAAATGATGAGCTGGACTTGAAGCATGTAATCTGTTCCCGAAAGTAGAGTGAACTTCACCTCATCCTAACTTCCCTAGAAATCTGTTCTATCTAATGACCTATAAGTGTGTAATCTGTTCCCGAAAGTAGAGTGAACTTCACCTCGTCCTAACTTCCCTAGAAATCTGTTCTATCTAATGACCTATAACAGACAAAATTTGGTTTATTTTCCTTTTAAGCCTACTCATTAAACATGTCATCACTGGGTAACCTAATTTTTCCCATTCTTATAAAAAAAATTGCACACGAAATTCTTGGCAGATTCAATTTAGAATTTCCACAAAGTGGTTATAATAAGGGTACTTTTGTTCAGACTATTTGAGAATTTGATAACTGCACCTGAATGTCATTTTACAATTGGAAAAAAAAACATTTTCACATCTTTCACCTCATTCGGTAGCATTTTTATTTGTAAAACAAGTTG